CACACACACACACACACACACACACACACTGCCAACATCCCTTTCATGCTTCCATGTCTCTAGATCTATTTTGTTCATTAGGTTCCGCATATGGTGAGATCATGTGATACTTGTCTTTCTCTGACCGCAGGTGTGTCTTTTAGATTCCATGATAATATAAAGATAATAGGAATGCTTTCAGATAGTAGAGTCACAAATGTAAAAAAAATCGCTTTGTCATATATAGACGGTGGTGCTGCATAGAAGCATTTTATCACATCAAGTAACTGCAGTATTCTTAGCATTGAAGAACAGTCTGAGAAATGCCCAAAAAAAGACATTCCCTGGTGTTAGTAGTTTGGGTGGGCTATTACCATTAGAAATCTTCACATTATTTAAAGAAGAGGGCATATGTTTTAATAAAAACTGGGGTTTCACCTAGCCTGTGTTTCTCAGTGGTTAGAGCCAGCACATGGAAGGTTTGAGGGTTTGAGTCTCAGTCAAGGGCATGTACCTAGGTTGCAGGTTCCAACTGCAGCCCTGGTCAAGGTGCATGCAGGAGGCAGCCGATCAATGTGTCTCTCTCACATCAATGTTTCGCTCCCTCCCCCACTACCTTCCTCCCTTCTACTCTAAATATCAATGGGAAAAATGTCCTTGGGTGAGGATTAACAACAATAACAAAAAGTGGGGTTTCAGTTGTGTTTTTCTGAAACATTTGTGGGAGGAGGAGGAGAGTCTTCGAGAGAGGCCAGCGCTGGTCCTAGTGTTGAGGATACTGAGCCTTGTGGAGTGCTGAGGATGGCGAGATGATGTGGAGACACCAGGGATGCAGAGGTGACTGGGACATGTCCTGGGACCACCAGGCTCCAGGTCATCTTCAGATCACAGAAAAGGGTGTCATAGAGGCCAGGGACCCTGGACAGGGGCTCTGACCGCCTGGCTGGAAATCTGCGCTGGCTCTCAGCGACTGCATGGCGAGTGGTTGGAAGGGGTTCTCGAACACCTGCATGTGGGCAGCTTTCTGAAGACAGATGGGGCAGCTTGGAATTCATCTGTTGAGGTGACACTCTTACTGGGGATTGGCTGGCACATTTTCTTTGTGTGACCTTGGTAGAGAGAGTGTCCCTCAGTCACATGTGCATTCTCTATGCAAACCTGGCCATTCCAGCCTCTGACACGAACGGCACATGTTTTGAGAGGCATCTGTGGGAGATCTTGGCATTTTTGCCTCCTGCCTCACAACCATGGTGTTTTGTGACCTGAGGTCGATGTGTGGGGACGGAGCAGTTGCCCTCTCATACCATGGAGGAAGATGATGGAGGAAGAGGATGAGGAAGCATTCCTGTGCTACAGTGGGAGGCAGGCATGCCTGGAGACACACTTTTATTAGCTGAACTTGAGTCATCTTTCTAGCTGAGAATGGCTCCAGGCATTATCGAATACCTTGCGTTTGGTGGGTCTGTCACTTGAGATTTTAATGTTCCTAACTCTTGGAAGGAAGTTCGCCAAACGGCAGAGGAAAGCTCAGGACAATGAGTCATTGTATAATATGACAGATTGTCATTACATCTTGTGTCTTACCTAAATTAAGACACACAGTTTTGTCTTTAGAGGTAAACATCCTCCACAGTCCTGTCTCCTGCCACTTACTTGCTTTTGGCAAGTCATTGCACCTCTTGGCTTTCTTATCTATCACAGATTGAAGCTTGGATGTGGGAGTCAACTTCCCTCCACCTAAAACCCTCTGATTCCCACAGCTCTGTACGTAATAAAAATACTGACGCAGCAGTGACGCTGGCAGCAGCCACCACATTGTTGTGTGGGCCCAGGTTTGGAACAAGAGACTTGATTCCTGCTTCCTGGTGACTTCGGAGCTTTTGAGCTTTAGAATCTCAGTTTCCCCATTTCTGAGATGTGAATAATAACTATAACTATATATATATTTGCCTAAGCGACCGTTCCACCAGTAGCTATGATGTGCACTGACCACCAGGGGACAGACATTCAATGCACAGGCATGGAAACATGAAACAGACTGATGAATCTTGGGGGGGGGAGGGTGGGAAGAGGTTAACCAAAGATCTTGTATGCATACTAGAGACCCGGTGCACGAATTTGTGCACGGGTGGGGTCCCTCGGCTTGGCCCGTGATTGGGCCGATTGGGGCTGGCCAGCGGGGGAGGAGGGGTACCATAGGAGGTTGGCTGTGGGAGTGCACTGACCACCAGGGGGCAGCTCTTGCATTGAGCATCTGCCCCCTGGTGGTCAATGTGCATCATA